TTTTTTTTAAAAAAGTAAAAACTTCTTTTTTTTTTTTTTTTTTTTTTTTCGATTGATTGATTTTCAAAACAAAAAAAAAAAAAAAAAAAAAATCTTGCTGGCTAATTGATTAAATTGTTACAATTAAACAACAACAATAATACAATAGAGAAATGTCAAATCATTCAATGAGAAAAAAAAGCCAATGAAGAAGAAGATCACTTTCGTATCCAGCAAAACAAAACAAATCAAGATGATGATGATGATGATACAATCACACACTTGAAAATTTAATTTCAATGTTTTTTTTTCATTTCAAATTTACCTTTTGTTTCTTCTGTAAAAATCTATTAATAATTTCTGATTAACACTACACTGATCCATTTTCAAGCAAAAAAAATATTATTATTTATAGTATCAAATATCAAACAGAAGAAATAATTTTTTTCTAAAATTTCTAAATTTGATTTTTACAACTAAAAAAAAAACATAAAATTACAGGTGTAATGATAATAATGAATGTTTTAATTAATGTGAATCTTTATGAAATAATTTTTGTTGTTTTTTTTCTTTTGGTTGAAAAAAAAGACAGGTAAATATTCGATGATGACTTTTGATTATTGATTGTCCATGATGATGATGATAGCGGCAAGTTTTCGCTGTTTTGCTTTTTGTGTTGGCCATGACAATGTATCAATTCATCATCATCATCATTGAAGATAGATTCATCATTATATTGTTCAATACTTGGATCTATTTCAAACAGAAAACAAAATTTAAAAAAAAACAATACAGAAACAAAAACTCAAATGGATCGATCGATCAATCAATCAATCAATCATTCATTCAATCAGATTGATCAATTTATTAGACTTTGGTCCATAAAAGGATTTTTTTTGTAGTCTTTTTTTGTTTTTGTTTCAAGTCTTTTTTTTTTGTTTCTTTTGAAATGAGACCAATCTCCTTTCTAATTTACACATAGACACACACACGGCAATCATAATAGACAACATCAATTTGTTGTCGACAATGTTTTTTTTTTACACAGTCGAATGATTTAAACAATTTTGGCCAAACAATTTATTGATGATGATGATGATCATGGTGAAAAAAGAAGAAGAAGAAGAAGAAGAAGAAAATGCGTCCTGGTTGGCTGCTTGACAAACACATCAACAACAACGAAGACGACAACGACAACGAAGACAAAATTGTTTTGCAAACATCATTATGCAACACTATTTTTTTTTTAAATACAAACAAACATTTGGTTATGGAAGAAGTTCAAAACAAAAAAGTAATAATGATGATATATGCTTGCAACAATGTAATCTTCAACAACAACAACAACAAAGTAAGAAGCCAAAAAAATACAAGAAATTAAATGAAGAAAAAAAAATGATAAAGTTATCGGTTATTATTATTATTATTTTAAACTTGGCAATCAATAAACGTTGATCGTATTTCTCTTTTGATATTTAGATTTTTTGTCTATCTGATGTCTGTTTTTGTCTATTTGAATGTTAACCAAGAAAAACAACAAAAAAAGCGGAACATATCGATATTAACAATTTGACATTTGACAATGTCATTTTGATGATTTTTTCTTTTGTTTTAAGAAATATCAATAAAGTCTGTATTATTATTATTCAACATTTGATTGAACATTTAAATAATAATTATATGGTTAGTTATAAAATAATAATGAATTCAACAAAATTAAAAAAACAAAACTACAACAACAATCAAAACAAAACAAAAATACAATCAGTTCAGTGGATTCTGGATTGAAAAATTATCATCATCAAAATTTTTTTTTTTGGTTGTTAAACACAGCCAAAAAAAAAACAAGCAAACAATGATCAACTTTTCAACTACTGTACTGTTTTTTTTCATCAATGTCATATTCAATAGGGAAAAAGAAAATATTTCAATTTCATTCATTCATTTGTTTCATTTTGGTCATCCAATCAATAGCCCGAAGCAAAATTACAATTAATCAATTTTCGGTTATTTGTATTTGGTGGGAGGGAAAATAATACACCTTGACTTCGTATATAAACAGTGCGAATTTTCTATACAATTTTTCTTAATTGATTATAATTATTCATTTTTTTCGAGTGTTTATCTGTCTATACACCTGTCTGTTGAAAATAATTATGGAAATTTTTGTATGAAAAAATGCAAAAAAAAACAACAAAAAAATGTTTCTATTTTTAGCTAGGATTTTTTTTTTGTAAATCCAATGTTTTCTCATTACAATTATAATCTTTTCATTCATTGTCATTGTCATATTGAGCGAAATCATATCGACAGTATTTTTCTCATATAACATCAATGAAAATCTGGACAAATTAACGTTGAAGAAAAGCAACAAAAATCAAATTATCAAATTTCATTTTTCATTCACTTTATCAACATTTTATATTAATTTTTTTCTGTTTTTTTTTTTGTTTTTCGTTGAAATCCAAAATGAACAAAAAAAAACACTGATAGCTTGTCATCCGACGGTTCATTGATTTTCATTGATGAAAGAAAAGAACAAAAAATTTGTAAATTTGCCAACAAACAACAACAACAATAACAACACGTATACGAAAGAAAAGAAAAGAATTGTGATTGAATCAATTATAAACACACACACACACACACAATCAATGTATGATATCAATGTTTTTGATTGTTTCAATGAAAATTAATCGATATAAATCAATTTATCGATCAATTTGATTTGTTCAAAATGAATATTTACTAAATACATTCAATGAAATTGTCAATTGTAATTGTTAAAGTTGTTATAACATTTGAATTTACAATGAAAAAAAAACATATATTGAAAAGTAGCATATATAAATCTTCTTGTTTTTTTCGAAAATATTTTTCCATCACTTTCTTTCGATATGAATGGAAAAAGGATATTCTTTGAAATAATAATTTCTTGTTGTTGTTGTTTTGCCGGTTCAATCTTTTCTGATTTTCAATTTCCTTGTTTAAATAATTGAAAATTTTCACTGTTTTCCGGTTTTTATTTTTCTTTTTTTTTCATTTTCAAACTTTGATTTTCATATCAAACATTTTGTTGTTGTTGTTGTGATTGGAAGATTTTTCTGCCAAAAAAAAAATCGATCCAAAAATGATGATGATAAAAATTCGTTTTCGAATGGATGGATTGAGCAAAAACAAGAAGAATTTCGTTTGTTCTATTTTTTTTCTCTCTCTCTTTCTATCACTTTCATTCAATTTAAATTCAATCAAAAAATATTTTCAAATTTTTGATTGAATTTTTTTTTGGTTTTTCATTCAATTCTAATTTCAATCATTGATTGTTTGGCTATATAAAAATTGCCTAAATCAAACCGAAAACCAAAAAACCCAAAAAAAAAAAAAAAAAAAAAAAAAAAAAATTGAAATTGGAAAAAAATTAAAAAAAAAAAAAANTTTTTCATTCAATTCTAATTTCAATCATTGATTGTTTGGCTATATAAAAATTGCCTAAAACAAACCGAAAACCAAAAAACCCAAAAAAAAAAAAAACAAAACAAAATTGTAATTGGAAAACAATTAAAAAAGAAGAAAAAACCAAAATCAGCCCCCCAATAAAACCCCAGTTAAATTATTTATTTTTGGATTTTGGAAACTTATACTTTCTATTGAATAAATTTCAGCAACCTGAAATAGATTGATTTTCTTTTCTTTTTTGGCCAACAATCAATATTCAATGATTTTTGTTGGTGAAAATGAAATTATTGTCACGTTTTGAAAATTCATTCATTTTTCGTCCATTTCATTCATTCTTTTCATATTTTTGGTGTTCAATCAATCGAATTGACAACGGTTATATTGGATTAAACTATTTTTGGGATAATAAAAAAATGTTTTTCATTTTTTTTTAATTTAATTCAATTTTGCTTGATTCTGGCTTTTTTTACTCTAATGAAATTATTTTTGGAAAGAAAAAAGTGAAAATTTTTTCATTTTTTGTCAAATGCAATGATGATGATGGTACTGTTTGGTGACAGATAATTGCCATAAAAAAATGTCAATAATAATATTTGGTCTCCCCCAAAAAATATCATCAGCCAACAGTGTGTTTTTTTTTTTGCTGGTGGTGTCCGGGTATTGTGAGTCAACGAAACTAAAGTAAAATATTGATCCGATTCGCTGATGGTGATAATGATGATCATGATGATGATGATGATCCGAAAAAACTTAAACTAAATAAAATCTTATGTAAGAGAAAAATGAATACCACCAATATTGTTCTCCTTACGAATACAGAAGTGAAACGAAAAAAAAGAATGATGAAAATGAGAGAAAAAAATTCTGCCATTTTGGATTGTAATGGATTGGATTTTTGTTTTTTGTTTTAGCTTTCTATCTTTAACCAATGTTTTTTGTATTTTCCAAACTTAAAAAAAAGAGCTAAATGAACAACCAAAAAAACGATTGAGAGTGCAAGAGAGATAGGATAGAAATCAATACATAACATTTTTTGTTTTGTTCATCATTATCAATGGATCAACCGATTATTTTTTGTTTTGTTTTAGTGTTTCATCATAGTTCATCAAATATTATACGAAAAAGTTGTTGTTTGGTTCAGGATATATTTTAGGTTTGAAAAAAATTTGATTTTTTTTTCTAAGAATAATTTTTCGAAATAAAAACCTTCAAAGAATCAAAACAAAAACAAAAGCAAAAGCAAAATTCCAATGCAATGTTAATCAACACCGGCAATAGATTTATAAATGTTGTACATCAATTTTATTGATACAATATGTCTTTATCATTGTTTCCGGATCATCATCATTATCATCATAATCATAATCAACATAATAATAATAATAAATTGAACCGCATCTCATCATCATCATCATCATCATCAACATTATCATTAACAACATCACCATTGTATATATCGATTAGCACAATAATATTATTAATAATATTCATAATAAATTTTTTAATTTTATCAAATGATTTTATACAACAAACAAATCGATTAAAAGTTTTAGCCGATTATATTGATGATAGTTATTCATCATCTTCAAATGAACAAAATCTATTTGATAATGGCTTAATTGATGATGGTGAATTTGGTAATCGTTATATTAATTTTAATAAATTACAAACAAAAAATATTACAACAAATGTTAAAAAACCAATTACAATTGAAAATACAACAGCTATTTCGACTGCAACAGCCAATTCAATGTCAGTCGCTTCTGTTTTATCATCATCATCATCATCGTCATCATCATCATCATTGTTGATTCAACCGATCTCACAATCTACACAAATACGACCATCATGGTCATCAATGTTTCAAACACCATCAAATCAAAGTTTGATACAAACGCCATTATCTTCATTGAATAATCGTACACGACTTAAGAATGTGAATAGAAATAAAATTCCAACAAACAGATTTACTAATCAAACATTATCGATTGTTTCGAATCGATATGATGGACAAAAAATTTTACCTAAACATAAATCATCAAAAATGATGACCGAATCAATGGCCATCGAACCTGAACCACCAATTTGGATTGCTCCAACATCATTAGGTATTTGTTTATATCATCATATCAAATAAGATTATCCTGTTATTGTTTTTTTTTCTACCATTACCTTTCCAAATAAAACATAGAAGATAGACCATCACCAATTGTAGCCGAATTTCAACCAATTCAGGCTAATCCATTAATGGTAGATTTTATGCCAGTTGAACCACATTTATCAATGTATCATTCACATGGTCATCATCATCATCATCATAATGTTCATCCTCATCCTCATCGTCATCATCATCATCCATTACATATGATTAATACACCACCACCATCATCTTATCCACATCCACCATTACTACCATCACCATTATCACCATATCATATGGAAACATTTGGTAATGTTTTATATGATCATCATCATTCATTATATCATCCAAATTATATTGAACAACAATATCATCCTGGATCGGATATGTTTTATAATCCAGATGGTGATGATATTATTGTTGACAATAGTAATATACATAATAATCATAATCATAATCATAATGGACATGATGATAGTGATGAAGCTGATACAATAAATGATAATAATTATATGTTAGAATCTGTACCACCTGTTGCACAGAATATGTTATTTTCTGAACAACAAAAAAATTCAAATTATTATACACCATTTAAAGTAAATTCAATTAATGTTTATAGTGATTATTTAACCGATGATGATGATAGTGATAATGGTGATGATGATGATGATGAAGATGATAATGGTGATAATAATGGTGAACAAAATGATTCAAAACAAAAATATTGTCCAAATAAAAAAGATATTACAAGAAAAGATGTTGATGATGCAATTAAAAATGCATCATCCAAATTAAAATGGTATTCAAGAACAATTGAAAAAAATGCAATACAAACAAAACGTCGTTCACCATATATACCACCTGGTATGCTTGATTCAAAACTTTTTGAATATGCTTCTAAATATCTTAAAGATCGGTATGTGTTGTTTTTTGTTTTGTTTTTGCAATTTGTCTTTGTGTGTAATTTAAAACTATTAAAATTTTTATTTCAAAATTTTAGAAAATGTTTAAACAAAATGGATGTCATTACAAAATTACCTAAAATTAATGTACGTCGTATATCATCACATTATGAAATGTCAACATGTTCACAAGAGGAAAGAATTGTATGCGAACCAAAAGCTAAATTTCGATCGATAGATGGTTCCTGTAATAATCTCAAGTATGATTGAATTTTTTTTGTTTCAAATAAATTACTTTTAAATATTTTGGATTATATTTTATGATTTAGATATAAAACCTGGGGTAAATCATTTACATGTCATCGACGATTATTACCACCAAATTATGCGGATGGTGTTGCCGAACCACGTATTGCATATGATGGTGGTAAATTACCTAATGCACGTGATATTTCATCACAATTATTACCCGATGTTGATGTACAAGATCATAAATTAACATCAATGACAATGGCATTTGGACAATTTATTATACATGATATTGCTAGAACATTACCATTAGCTAATGATATACGTTGTTGTCCAAGTAAAAGTGCCAAACATCCAGAATGTTTTGCCATTGATATAATACGTTCGGATGATATTCTTGTTAAATATTTTAATCAAACATGTATTAATTTTGTTCGTTCAATTGTATGTAATCCATGTGCACTTGGTCCACGTGAACAACAAAATCAAGCAACACATACATTTGATATGTCACATATGTATGGATTACGTTTGAATGATTCATTAGCATTAAGAAGTTTTCGTGGTGGAAAACTTCGTGGTTCATTAACAAGTACATATCCAAAAGAAGAATTACCACCAAAAATGACACGTGAAGATCCTAGTTGTAATGTACGACCAAAACCACCAAGATTTAAATGTTTTGAAACAGCTGATGGTGTTCGTGCATCACAACATCCAGCATTACAATCATTACATACTGCATTTCATCGTCGTCATAATCAACATGCTGATGCATTATCAAAAATAAATCCACATTGGAATGATGAAAAATTATATCAAGAAGCAAGACATATTATGATTGCTGAAGTATCTGTAATGATATATGGTCAATATTTATCAGCAATATTTGGACGTAAAATGATGAAACATTTTCGTTTAGGTTTAAATAAACATGGTTATACACGTTATGATCCTAAATTAAATCCATCAACATTTCAAGAATTTATTACTGCATCAGGTCGTTTTGGTCATTCACAGGTTAATGATCGTTTTCGTGTATTATTTGGTGATGATAAAACATCATATGCATATAATTTAAGAGATAATTTTTTTGAAACAACTATTGTTAGTTTAGGTCATGTAAGTAGTTTAGTTTGTTTTACTTTTTCTTTCAAAAAATTCACATTTATTTATTTGTTTTTGTTTTTGTTTTATTGATTCTTTTTTTCATAATCATCATCATCATTATCATCATTATAATAGTCAGCAGGTGTATTAAAAGGCTTGTCATCTGATCCAACACAAGCAAGTGATAATTATTTTGTAAATGATATAAAAAATGCATTATATCGTTTACGTCGTGATCGTACTGGTAGAGATTTACCTGCATTCAATATACAACGTGGACGTGAACATGGTATACCTGGATATATTTATTATCTTGATTTTTGTTTTGGGTTTGTTTTTTTGTTTATGTTTTTTTTTCGATGAAATTAAAATTCACACGAATTACACACGCACAACACGCGAAGACTTACCTTTATTTTTTTCCTCGCTATCATTATCATCATATCATTTTTTTGTTGATTTTTGATTTTTTAGCATCACAAATGTTTATTCTTTCTAAATGTTACAACGTTCAAATATCATTTTTTTTTCATTTCTTCATATTTGTCTTATTTACATTTTACAACGTATTTTTTTCTTTGAATTTTTTTTCTTTCTCCTGACACAGATACAAAGTACAACAATGGAATGATCTAGTGACATTCATACCGAAAAAACATGTTAAAAAGATACGACAATTTTATAAGTAAGTTTAGCATCATCATTGTTATCATTTTTTCGATGATGATGATGACAATGACAATGATGACCATAATTTTTTTTTACAAAATAACAAATTTGACACATTTATAAATTCTCTCACCTTTTTTTTTGTTCACGTAACGAAAACAACAACAAACATTCAATGTTATAAATAATAGACATTGGAAAGATATTGATCTATTTGTAGGCGGTGTATTTGAACGACTTATATCTGGAGCTGCATTTGGACCAACATTTGGATGTATAAATGGTATACAATTTTATAATTTTAAATATGGTGATCGTTTCTATTTTGAACATGGTTATCAATCTGGATCATTTAATGAAGGTATATTTTTATTCTGATTAATTTATTTACAAAAAAAAACTATTTTTTTTTCTATTTTTCATAGAACAATTAGATAATATACGTTCAGTAGCAAGTCTTAGTTCATTAATTTGTAAAACACATCAAGAAATTAAACAAATGCCATCAAATCCATTTATACAACCATCACCACATAAAAATCCAATGATACCTTGTTTTAAATTTTCTGAATTTGATTATGATCTTTGGAAAGATAAAAAAGGTAAAAATATTAAATATTCAACAACAATGTCAAAACCGGCAACTGTTGTTTATGGATCGGCAAAATTTCCAATGGGACCACCGCTACCACCACCACCACCACCACCAATATCATCATTATATTCATTACCAAAAAAATTACCACCAGTAATGACAAAAATACCACCAGGTATTGGTTATTCAAAACAATATCATTATCAATATCCAACGAAAAAATCGCCAAAATTATCATCACCATCATCATCAACAACATTGATGACAGATTTTTCCGAACGAAAAGATAATCAATAATTCAATCCAATCAATCAAATAAATGTCATAATTATTTGAAATTTTTCTTTTTTTTAATTATAAAATGTTTTTTTTTGTTTAATTATAATTATAAAATTTGTTTTGAGGCCAATTTGTAATGAATTTAAAGAAACAAGAAGAATAAAAACAAAATTTGATAAACATTTTGAAAATTTATTACAACAATATTACTAATTGTAAAAGAAAAAAAGATAGATAATTAATGAGAAATTTTTAAAAAAGAATACTATTTTTGTTTTATTGAGTTCCATTTGAGGTCCATTTATATTTTTGATTATCATTCATTGGTTGATTGATTTTATATTAAATGGATTTAAATTATATTCTATAGAAAGAAAGAAAGTAGAAAGTAAAAGTTAATCTATCCAATATATGGTGATGATATATATGGTGATCCATATGATGATCTACTAATACCAACACCACCACCACCATATAATGATGATATTGGTGATGAATAAGTAGCTGGCATCATCATTAATGATGTTGATGTTGATGGTGTTAAACCATATGATTGCATTGGTGATAAATATGATGTTGAACTAGAACCATATGACATTTGTGGATAAACATTAGCTAATGTTTCACTTGATTGTCTAATACCAATACCAGGATTACCAACAAAACCTTGACCATTACGTGAACCACCACCACCACCACCATTCATTATTTGATGATAACCATATGATGATGGATTTAAACCATAACTTGTACCATATATACCTGGATGAAGATTTAATTGTCTTGAATATATTGGTGACATATACATTGATGAACTACCATAACTACCATATGGACTTGAAGCAAAAACCATTGAAATCATTATTGAACAAATCAACAACAACATGAACGATATTCTTGTGGAAGACATTTTTTTATCAAATAAAAAGTTGTAATATAACAAACTTAAACAAACTTAAACAAACTTAAACACAATCGAAGAATTTTAAGAAAAAATGACCTTTTCATTTTGTTTTGGTTGTCCATTTTATATACGAAATTTTTTTTCGTTTCGTTTGAAAAAAACTTTACCATACTGGAAATACACAAACATACATAAGATGTGTATAAGTGTTTCACAAATTACATACATACACACAGTACACACACACACCCAAATACAATTGGATAATAAATATAAAATTTCGCGGGCTTTTTTTGCATGTAGAAAAAGAGAAAGTAAATGTGGAAGAAAGAAACAAAACAGAAAAAAATTTCAAGTTAAAAAAGAGAAAAAATGACGACTATTATGACAACTTCTGTATTTTTTTAGCAAACAACAAAAAGAGAAAAAAAATTGCTCAATTTTTTGTTTTTGCTTGGGCGTCACATCTTGGAATCGATGATGGTGATGATAATTTTTCATTTTATTAATATCGAAGGTCATCATTGTAAAAAATTATAGATATTTTTGTATAATTACCGGCCAGAATGAGCAAACGAGAGAGAAATATTTTAGGAAAACAAAAAATATTGGAGATAAAATTCCTGAAACAGGAATTTTTCCTTTTTTATTAAATTGACGTCATAGTAATAGTAATGTTATATATTTTCTTTTCTTGATTTTGATGATGGAAAAAAGTGAAAAAGGTGAGAGAAAAGGGTTTTTTTCAAATTTCCTATCATCTTGGAACGATTTTTTGCCATCATCATCATTATCATTTTTTTTCCGAATGGTTTTTCCTGATCATCAACATAATTAATGTCATTCTTCGTTTTTTGGAGAGAAAAACAAAACAAAAAATTTCACAAAGAAATTCAAAATTTTTTTTCAAGATAAGGGCATATGTTGAATGGTCACGAAAAACAAAAACAAAAACAAGAAAAAATCAATAATTAAACAGGAAAAAGGAACAATTTTGAATTCCTATTTGACCATAATTTGTATGGGGAAAAACTAAACTATGAATATCCGTTCCAAATGTATGTGAAAAATCATGAATGAATGACCAAAACAATAAAATTTTGTTTTTTTTTTTGTATTTTTCAAACCTTATTTACAAATTTTAAATGAAAATGAAATCGGATTTTACAAAAAAATTTTACTTTTTTAAAATACGCGCCTATTTGTGTGTGTGTGTGGGAAACATAACGTGACAAAATGTCAAGGCTTTTTGCTTGTTTGTTTGTTTCAATTTTTCATTTTGCTGTTCATCATCATCATTATTTCATTTGATAATTTTTCATTCCAAATGAAGAATGTATCTATTAGTGGTGTGTGTGTGTGGATAAGATTAAAAAACAAACAAACACAGAGAATTTGCTTGTTTGAATCACGATACAATTTTTTGTTTCGTTTTCGTTGATGTTTTAAGATTCAATATTTGACAAATGAATCAAAAACAATTGATGAGTGTTTTTCTAAACAAGAAAAAAAAATCCCAAATTTCGTAATAATTCTTATTATAATTTTTTTTTTGTTGTTATAATTATTATGCAAACATGCCAATAAAAGGAAAAGCAAAGCAAGTAAAATTCCAATCAAAAAATAAATCGAAAATCAAAGAAACTAACTACAACAACAAAGCAAAAATCCAAATGTAATAATGAAAGAAATGTGTGTGTGTGTGTGGATGTCATATATCGAGGCCAAGACATTGAATCTACAGTGTGTGTGTGTGTGTGAATGAATGATTAAAATGTAACAAATCTTAATGGAATTTTTCTCTTTCTCACTTATATAAGTTAGTAGAAGAAGAAGAAGAAGAAGAAAATCCCTATTTCCATTTCTATTTTAATTGATCAAAAACAAATTTACCATTGACCATCACCGGATGCTATGAATGAATTAATGATTTCAATTTTTTTTTCAAAAATCAATGAAATAAACTGGACATTAACTGGACTCAAGACTTAAATATTAGAATTCATATCTAGGTCAAGGAATATGGATATTTAATCATTTTTAAATTGATCCGAAAAAAAAGAAAAAAAAACAGAAAACCAATCTAATTTGTTAATTTTTTTCCTATTTTAAAAAATATTGTTAAACCTGGTAATGTTCAAATAGCCGCCATTGGCTTATTGTGTAGAAATTTTCCACTTTTCAAATTTTGTTGCTTAATTACGGTACAATTTTTTTTTCAACCTTTTTTCATTTTAGATCCAAAATGAACTTCAAATTTTTTTCATTTTCAAAAAATTATAATTGGTTGTTAATTGCCTGAAAACATTGTTTAATTCAATGAAATATTATGGCCCTAACAAAATAAAAAACAACAATTTCATTGACATCAACATTATGATACGAATGACGAAAATATTAAATCTACTTTAATCATATAAATGAATGAATGAACGAAAAAATTTCATCAATTCAATTCAATTCGTATGATGGTTGTTGTTGATGACTTTCATTAATTTTTCTGTTTTGTTTTTCCTCCTACGAATCATATATATGATGATTTATAATGTTTATCGTTGTCATTTCGTTTTCGCTGTCATTTTCATTTTTGTTTTCGTTTCGTTTTTTGGGGAGAAAAAATCGTTCCAATAAAAAAAGTTGTTTCAAAACAAAAATGAAAAGGGTTGTTTATCGATTATCATGTTATTTTATCATCAACATCGTCAATTCATTATTCATTTTATTAACACGTTTTCATACGTCAATGGATCATCCAAATAAATTATATACGATAAAATGAATGAAATTGCGAATAATTTATTGATTTTGTTTATTTTTTTTTGGGAAAAAATATACGTTTTCTTTACGTCACTACTAAATTGATATGATATGATGATGACATCTGAATGTATCATTCAATTCAGATTCTTTTTTGAATGCTTGTTTGAAATATAATGGAAAAAAAGAACATGGGATAATTTGTACCAAACAACAACAAGAACAACAACAGTGAAAATCCTCGTCATAATCAACTAAATTTAGCATCACATGAGGTGTAAAAATGTTCTTTTTCTTTTTCTTTCTTTCGTTTGGAAACAAAACGAATTTAAAAGGAACAAACAAAAACAGTGAATGGATGAATAGGAAATTTCGATCAATTTATGGTGTGTGCATTGGATTATTATTATGGAAAGAATGTAAAGTTATAACAACAACAACAAAATTAATAAACATAATAAAACTAAATCAAGGACAATGTTTTATATGTTTTGGACAATTGTTTTGATCATTGTAATAATGATGTGTTAATAGTTTAATATATTAAATTGATTGCAAAAAGATTATTTGTAATAAATTATTGAATTGAAATTAAAAAAAAAATTTCAACGAAAGAAACCTTCATCAATGATTGATTAGTAAAGTAAAACGATGATTATTATGATGACAAAAAAAAAAATAATTACAATTAAGTCTGTTTTGGTGATAATAGATGGCGTTAGCTTTGCCATCAATGAAATTGATATTTTTATTTTTTTTTTTTTTGAAACCAGAAAAACATCAAACAGAATGAATTCAAATAGGATTTTTAAAATTTTAAAATTTTAAAATCACCAGATCAGATTGAAAATAGAAACAATTCGTGATCTATTTTTTCAACAAAATGAAAGAATTTTTTTGTTTGTGTTTGAAATGAAATGAAAACAACAACAACAACGAAATTTGAATATTTAACAAAAAAAAAATCTAGTTTATTTTCACACACACACATCAATCGACCGACCGACCGATCAACCGACCGACAATGATGATGATGATGATTATCATCACAAAAATATATTTGGCTGGTCATCGTTAAACTAGAAACCATCAATTGAAATGTAATCAAATTCGATTTGGTTTGAAAATGAAAATGAAAATTCGTTTCTTTTTCTCGTTGTTCGTTGTTTTCGTTTTCATTACACAGGAAAAACGTTCAAGAAAGTTTCATTCACATTCACACACACACACACACACACACACAAACACATTAATATCATTTGTATCTAATTCTAATCGATTCATTCAAGAAAAAAAAAGAAAAAAGAAAAAAGAAAAATCTCTTAACTTTACAAACGTAAAACGCGTGTGTAAAAGTGAATAGAAAAATCCAAAGGTGAATCACCATCATTTTTTTTTTGTTTTGGTTAGTTTTGCCGCACCATAATTGGTTTTTTTCTTTTTCTTTTTTTCTTTTGGATTCAAATCAAACCACAATTATATGGTACCGTAAATGTTTTTTATTTAAATTTTTTCATTTCCCAAAACTAATCACACACACACACACACTGGATAAATTTGATTTTCACCTACACAAATCAACAACAACAACAACAAATTAATCGATGACCCGTAGGATATATGTAATCAAATTAATATCAATCTCATCTCATTTGATTAACCCGAAAAAGATTTTTGTTGAATTTACAAAAAAACAAATCAAATCAAATATCCTGCTTTTCCCTGCTTATTCAAGTTGACAATCCATCAATGGTATTGCTTGGTTATACCGGTGTGTGTTTTCGATTATGTTAAACAAGAAGATACCGGTTTATGGAAAAAATTTCATAATAATGGTCATTTGGATATTATTATTATTGGTCATTGGCCATGGTCAAATAATATTATTATCATCATCATAAGATTAGTATTTGATTCGGTCGATTGAATATTATGGTTGAATTTAAAATATATTTACAAATCATCATCATCATCATGATACATGATATATAAAATCATGAATGACATTGACATTTAAACATTGTTCAGTATTTTCTTGTTGTTGTTGTTGTTGAATATTACATCTTACACTTGTTCGGTGAATGATGATGATGATTCTGAATGAATCTTTAACCATATCAAGAGATTGACTTTTACGACGTTTACATACACATACATACCATACACTTACATACATACCAAACATTCATTGGTTCAACACATAGGTTCAATTAAATTCCAATTATTTTCCAATCAAATTCTTTATATGTATTTTTTTTTTCGTCGGCCGTTCATCTTTTTTTCTTTCTTTCTCTATCCTGTTTTTTCCTGTTTTGTTG